GGGCCTACACGCAAGCCCCCTGCTCACCAGGGCCCTCTTCGCTCCCCATCCTCACAGGGCCTCATCTCAGTCCCCCTGTTCACAGGGCCTCACTACTTACCCTGTCTCCAGGCCTGCACCAGGGTGGTAGTTGGGAGGCTGTTGGGTGCCCCACTGCACCCCACTCTACACCACTGAGGCACATACTCCACCCCATATGCTGTGGTCAAACACCCCCCACAGGCTCAGGTGCCCCTCACCAGGGGGCACCACTCCCACCCCTTGGGGTCTTGCACCTCACATGGGCTTAGGTGCCTGCAGCTGTGCCTGACCCCCAAGTGCCTCTGATGTGACCCACCCAAAGGTAGGAGCTGGGGTTTAGACACCCCTCCTTGCCTCTCACCAGGGTGGTAACTGGACCAGCATATCCTGGGGACTCCCACACCACTAGGAGTCCCACCAGGCCACCCATCTCCAGCAGGGTGCAGTTTTAGGTCATGCCCAGGACCAAGAGCCTCCAAACCATCCCCAAGCACTCTTGCCCTTACCTTCAAGTGTTAGCAGAGCAGCAGCTCTACCAAGAGATGTTGTTTCCTCAGTGCTAGGCACCAAGCTGCTGCCTCCAGCCCTGCTGGCCTGCCTCTTCAGGCTCTTAAAGTAGCAGACAGCAGAGGAGCTCTGACACACACCTTCCCCCCTTAGAAGAGTTCCTGGGAAAAGGTTACTCCTGCTGCTCGGCTCCCCTCAGAGCCTGTGAAAGCCCTCGAGTGGCAAGCACCCCCCCAAAGGTGCTCTGCCACAAGCAGCTAGAAGAGGAGTGAGAGGAGCAAACGCAAACAGGCCGTGGCAGCAAGAACACGGACGGGGGTGCGATGCAGTTAGGCACAGCTGTGCAAGGGGGTGGTTGGAGTGGCAGGTAAGGGACATGCCTCGGTTGTGCCTGCTAGCTTGGCCTCTCCAAGCATGGTACTTTCTGCTGCTCCCACTGAGTCAGAGAAACCCTCATAATGCTGGGTCCCCTCCTCTCCCAGGAGCAGAAAGGCCTTTTCTGGCCCTGCCACATGTGTGACCTAAGGGAGATACTAGAGAAGTGGTTCCCATAGATGGGGCAGGAGCTGAGCAGGTTGTAGAGAGGAGCTTCAGCAGTAGAGATAATAAAGGGTTTACAGAGACCTGAGAGAAGAAGAAGCAACATGACTGAGCAAGAAAGTCTAGTTGTGGAGAAAGGGGAGGGGCTGTTGGTGCCAGCTCCCTGGGGTACAGAGTGGGCAATGGGGCAGGGGGCAGGGCTGGGGCAGTAGGGAGATGCATTGGGGGAAGGGTGTGAGGAAGGTGCTGTTTTGTGAGCTAAACCTGGAGGAAGCGGCATACAATCCAGCTGCCGGAAGGTGCCAGGTGTGAAGCTTCCCCTTGACCAGAACTACCCTGGGCTCTCACCAGCAGCGGCTGGGGTAGTGTTATTTCCAGGCTGTGGGACCACTTCTTTGCTAACAAAAGTATTGTGCCCTGCTCAGTTCCTCCCCAGTGAAACAGTCAACCTAAAAAAACAGCAGCCCCTGTGCCCCTCAATCCTTTGTAACACGTGGGTCGCTAGAGGGCAGCCTTTGCCTGCTGTCAGCCACTGAGCACACAGCTGTAATAAGGCAGTAAGTTATATTCACTGTAGAGTCCATTAGCGACATCTCACTGGAAGAAACAAGATATAATATTGCCATCAGCTTGACGGGCTTCAGTGTCCCAATTTTTGATAGGCAGGCCCTCCCAGCCTGCTTTGAGATGTGGACACAGCTGCAATCACCACATGTGCTTACTCTGTAAAATGATCTCTGTAAAATCGGGCCCTCAGCCTGGAAGGGGTGAGTGTACCAGCTCTGGTCCCAAGCCTACTGTTTTGTGGATGGCTGCTGGGAGTCAACACAGCCATAAGTGCAGCTCCCTTCTTGCTGCCAGCTGGGGGAAACAGCAAGGGAATCCAAACACCAGAACTGCCAGCTCACACTGCGTAGAGTGACCAACTGTGCTGGGTTTCCCAGGACAGGCCTGGATTTTAGATCTATATTGCATTGTCCCTAAAGAGTTCCTCCAGTGACAGTTTTACTCTGAATTTCTGTTCCAGCCCTAATCCCAAATACTTGGACAGCACGAGGAAGCCTCCTGCTGAGGCTGTGGGCTGATTAGTTCTGCAGAGGGCTGGCTAGTTATGTCAGGAGCTGCATAACCCACATGCAGCAGCAACACTTACCCAAATGGGAGGCATTACAAGCTGGGATCCTCTATAGGTCTATCAACTGCACGGTCAAACCTATGGCTGAAATGAAGGCACAGGACAGTGGAGCAAGTCAAGAACCTGCAGTGGAAGGTACTTTTTCCTTTTAGATGTTTCAGTTTGTCTCTGGTGCTTGTAATCAGGAATACATTGTTGCCTGTGATCCCTTAAGTCTAGCCTCTTTCCCTCATTAGGTTGCTGCAAACAAATTGCACAGTACACAAAGGAGATCTGAAGTCCATCAGGAAACTCAGGACCTTGTCAGCCTTTGAACTGGTGAGGTCCTGCCTTCCTGCTCTCTGTTGTTGTTTGGACCTCTTTGGGAATCCCTGAAGACTGAAGGCTTCTGTACATCGCAGTAGATTTGATCATGGAGTGTATGCAGCTATATATGCTTCATCCAATGCAGCTTGTAGGGATGCCCTGGCTCTCAGTCATTCCTGGAGCAGGAGAGCTTTCAGCCGTTTTGAGGACCTCTGTCCATAAACTGGAATATTTTATCCCAAAACAGTTAGTCACACCTCACCCAGAGGTCCTGGGATCTGGTCATGTGCACCGGCATGCTATGCTAATGGACCCTTTTAGGGTCATACTTCTGCGGTGCCAGCTGGGGAGACCTCTGCTAAGTCAAGTCTCTCTCTTGGATGGTTATTATTTTGAGCAATCCTGGCACTGCATGCAAGTGGGAACCCTCAAAGGCTAAGGGACAGAGCATTGTCTATTGTCTCTTTTAGATATAGCCAGTTTAGAGGACCTGGACAGTTCCTCATAGACTTGCTGTGCTAAGGAGCCAGGCACAGAGCAGCATGGAACATCAAGCCACTTATGAGAGTTGTTCTGAGTCTCTGCCACTGGGATTTCCCTAGGCTCAGCTGCACGTCTCACGAGAACCTGGAAAATGTTGAAGCCACCTGAAAGACCAAGGGTCAAGGGCTCCCAGCCCTGTCACAGGAGGAACAAGATACTGATGCCAAGTCAATTGTTCCTCCTCATGCTGGTCCAGATAATGTGACTGTTGAAGCTGCTCTACTCAGTCTGACGATGGCTTGTAGGGGAAGGTGATTCACCCTAGAAGTGGGGTTGTAAGAGTGAGTCTGCAGAACTTGAGGAGCCCAACAGGCCAGCACTGGAAGTTATGACAGGGGACTGGAGTCCATCAGGGTAAGAAGGAGTGCAGTTCCTGGTGGATTCCTGTCTCTCATGGCTCTGGAGATAGTTTTTTGCATTTCCTCTCAGATTTCCAGAAAGGCACCCAAGGAGAGAAGTGGGGAGTCTCCTTACTGTGAAAGGAAAGGATGAAAGCAAATACACATCTTCCAGGCAGCAAGCCAAACCTCCTAGTGTCCTAGAGCAACTGGACTAAACAAGCCGTTCTTGTCTTTGGGTCTCAGCAGTCACAGGCAGGTTATCTTAGCTGAAGAAGCAAGCTGGGAAAATAATGGCTTACCAGGTGATAGCTCAGGGAGTCACTGGGGAAGATTTTGGAGGTCTGGCCTGGACTTGGCTTTTCTCACAGTCTGAGAGAGCCTCCCTAGAGCACACTAACAGCTAAAGCTTTATGTAGGAAACCCTGTATTTTCTGTCAGCCTGGGGAAGGAGTGGCTAAATGGAACAGCAATGCAGGTTTATTGGTTCTTCTTTCAACCAGACAACACATGGACACAACTGTAGTAGAATTCAAACTTCTGAAATGCAGCCTTTGCTATAAGAGCAAAGGCCCAGAGAAACTTAGTACAAGTTGTCAACAGGGTACTCTAAAAAGGACAAAGTAAGCACAGCTGACAAGCTAATCCTTTTTTTTTTTGTTTTTAAATAAATTTTTCGTGTTCCAGGCCAAATCAGCCAAATCAAGTCTACATCCATGAGTCGGTCCAGAACCATAAGTGTCCCTACAACTGGCAAATATCCTTCACACCCACCAGGGGCTTCAGATATTTCTAAAGTTTTTTGGCAGGCATCTTATGTGCAGGCCCAAGTCCGGAGACTTGGGGTTCAGATGCCCCCAAGTTTCACCTGCTCTCAGGCATATGGACATAGGAGCAAGCTAGGGAGGAGCCTCCCATTTCCATAAAGTGGGCTTTAAACCCCAACACCTTGGTGGGCACTGGACCATGCCAGAAGAACAGTTATCCCTGGGAGCACTTAAGGAAAACTGCCTTTATGGACCCAGATACATGATGTTTCTCCTGTCAGGAAACCTACCACAAGGATAGGCTAGCAAAGCCCATCTGACTAGCTAATCCTACAAGCACAGAGCAGGGGAGGTCTCTGCTGCAGAGGATGAGAGTCGTGAGGTGCAGCTGGGTCTGTCCTGTCCTTCATGCCCTCAGGTGGCGGTGAGGGTGTGTGGACACCTGGGTACAGGTATGGTTCTAACAGATCTTCCCTGCTAACCTTGAACCCCTGGTGCTGCATGCTGGGCATGAGATCTACACAGATAAATACTGGAAATCAAACCATTTATCACACCCACCTCTTATTTTTGTGGGGTCCTGCTGATGCTCCATTCCTACTGTCCCTTAAAGGCACTCAGCCTTTAGCAAGGTAGCACAGGATAATGAACAGAAGGAGAAACTCAGATTTCACTTTTCTGAACACCATACTTGTGAGAGCAGCTAGTCAAGGCTGTAACTTTTACAGGCTCTGGGAAAGCCCTGCCTCCCCTTGCCTAATTGGTCAGGAGTATCTCACTCCCATGTCTGAGGCTGCCTAAATAGGAGGAATCCCTCCTTTTTGGAGGGGGAGGAGGGAAAGGGTGAGCTTAGCATTCAGCTAGTTTAGTCCTGAGCAGCTGGCTGAGCACCTGCAGGGGAAAGCAGAGATGGGTGTTCTTTCTGCTGGAAGGGATGTGACACACATGGATCAGCTGAGGAGATGAAGGGCTGGCCATCTCCAGAAGATAACAGAGGTGGGAGAACAAGGCTTCCAGGTCCCATCAGAAATCTTGGGGTTCTAGATGGGAGGCCAGACAGGAGACCTGGGGGCTGGGAGAGGGGTTAGCTTGGGGTGTTACTTTGGGAGAGGAGTTGGTGGGGAGGGGATTGCTTGCATGGCCTTGAAGCAGTTGAATCCTTCCCCTTCTGGATGGACCCCTAGTAACGAGGAGGGGAGAGTGCACTTGTGCAGTGTGAACAGGAGCAATTGCTGTTCCTCTCCTCCTCCCCCTTCTGATGACCTAGAAGAGCAAGTAGGATTTCTCCGTGATGCCCAGTTCTCCTCTTGGCTGTAGGAGGGCTCTAAACCCACTTGTTTCAGGGGTGGATATGGGGCAAGTCAGGTGATAGGTGGGATCTGAAATGATGCTTACAAAGATCATGGTGCCCATTGGCTCTTAACTGTTATTTCTCACTTGCAATAGACTAACCATGCTTAAGTCCTGCCTAGAAGCCTTTGTCTTCTGATCATAGATTAGTTTGCAAAAGGTTGATTGATCTATTGGGGAGAGAGGGAAGGCAAGAAGAACGAGACCCACAAAAGATGACTTGACCTGCTCAACAGTCACACAGCAGGTCAGTGATGGGGCCAAGAGCAGAACCGTGTGGCCTGATATACAATGATCGTTGACCCCTGCTGCCTCTGACCTTGGCAGGTTACTAAAAGCAAGACAGGCTCCATTCCAAATGGCAATGCAGAGCACATGTCTGTGTGGGAGTGTTGGGAAGCCAGTGGGTAGAGGGACTTAGCTTAAGTTTGTCTGGAGGATTTTTATTGGTGGGAGGGAAACGGACTCGCCATACTGGGTTGGGCCTTTCTTTGGGGGCAGGGTGGGTCTGAGAGCTACTAGAATGGGGTCTGCAGGGGTTTTGTTCTGGGAAAGGATGTAGGAGAGGGCTGAGTGGGTGCAAGTTGTGGGGAGGGAAGAGGAATGGGATGGCTGTATATTGGGGGAATTATGTGAAGGAATTGGGGGTTAGGGTAAGGGGAGGGAGCTAGGCTGCTAGTGGCAGGTCCATTTCCATTTCCTCCAGGCCCATTGAGATTCAGCAAACCTGCTCTTTCATCAATTTCTCCTGGGGAGGAGATAGTTGGAGAGCTAAGGGGAGGGAACTGAGGGGCCTTCACTGTCTCTGCTGGCCTGAAGAAAGGGACTGGTCATTTCCCTGTTCCTGAGCTGAGATCAGTAGCTCCCTGAGCACTTTCTTCCTACAGCCTGGGAAGGTGGGGCTATGGGAGATCCCTGTCCTGGCATCAGCCAGCATCCTTGGGATGTAGCTGCTCCTGTCTGTGGGATTAGCTACAGGGGAATCAGTCAGTGCCCCCAGTTCTCACTGATGGTGGCCTCTGCCCCAAGTCCTTTTAAGCATTTCCTTTTACCTGGTGTGGAAAAGGCTCCAGGAACTTTGAGCCAAACCTTGATGTAGCTTCCCATACAAAACAAAATAGATCTGTCCCAGGGCCACATGGGGGAGCAGGAGGGACTGAGAGAATAGGAGCAAAGGGAGCTGGGGGATCCTTTCGAAGCTGTTAGATTTGTGGGATCCAAACTTTTTGGAAGACATGCCACAAATTAGCCCAAGACCCTGAGTGCCACTTTGTTCCCTTTCTTCTGCCTTGCTTTCTGTTCCCTACCTTCTGTTCCCATCTGATCTGCTGCTCTGCTTTCTGCTTCCTCTCCTATCTGCAGCTGTGTTGCCTGTTCCCCCCCGGCTGCTGTATACCACACAGAAAGTTCTGCCTATGCCACTTAAGCCACAGGTTGGTCACCCCTGTGCCAGATGGAAGTCAGGAGGAGGGCCCAGCTCAGCCAGATTGGAGGAGCACTTGGAAACCATAAATTGCTGGTATGAGCAAGACAGTGAGCTGGCCTGCATGCAGCCCATATATTGCAACAGATGCCTACCCTCCTGCAGGATAGTGATTGTGGATCATGCCCCACCCAGCAGTAGCATAGCTAAAGGTGGGGTTGACTAGGGCATCAGCCCTGGGCATTGAATTAAGGTGGGGAGGGGGTGTGCAAAAATAGCAGCTACTACACTGTCATCCTGGCCACCAGTGCCACTGCTGACAGCACAACCACTGGTGCTACCCAGTGTGCAGAAGTGCTCAGGGCTGCCTCAGCTAGCACCCACTCCTGCTGGGCCTGGGCAACAGCTAGAGGCTCGTGCAACCAAGTGGTTTGAAGCCTGTACCAGGTAGTGGTGGCTGCACAGCTGAAAAACATGAGGAAGAAGATTTTTCTGTGCTGAGCGATGACTGCCCATGAGGGTGAGAGCTGTCCTGGGCATGGAGGACAGCACAACAGCCTTATGGAAGATGGCTCCCTAGGATGTGGCCAGCAACTCCTGAATGGGTGCAGGGTACCCCAGGCAATGCTGCAGAAGTGTGCGAGTGAGGTGACTGTTATCCCAGAGACTGCTGAGACACTGCAACAACTGGGCTGTGCAGGACTCATGGATGGACCCCTAGCTGCCCATTTGGTTCCTTATTTTCCTGGTATGTCAGCTGGTGTAGCAGAAAGCCCCTTTTTCCTCTTGCCTGCATTTGCTTTCCCCTCTTTGGATATGTTTCTCCTCTTCTACCTTTTCTTCCTTCCTCTTTCTTTCACTATAAGATAAGAAATTGTGTTTTAAAGTTTGTGTGTGTGTATTTTGTATCTCCCTTTGTATTTCGGTATTTGTATCTATTTGTGTGCCACGGCATTACTCTTGTAGCTTATATTTTATACTCTTCGCCTTTTAACTAAATGTGTTTTTAGTTTTGGAAGTACATTATACACTGTAACAATGTTAACAAGGGCAGGAATCAAACCGCAGCTTCCCTGTATCAGGTGGGCCCTTGAAAGAGCAAGTGAATCAGTGATTGAATACATAACACAGTAGCAGGCTCCGGCAACAAGCAATAATTAACACCTAGGGAAACCACAGATCAACCAAGGGAAGAAATCAATGGGAGACAATGTAGCAACCAGGAATTCTCTAAACTTCACTGTTCAAGGGCTAGAAGCCCCGGTCTGAGTTAATCAACGCCGGGGACCAACTTTTGGGGCCGAATATCTCCAGATCAACTGCTCCCAGAGCCCTATTCAAAATTCATCAATGGACTCCCAAACCTGCACGTACATGCAGATGCCCCCTGGGGCTGACAGATGCCATCCAGTAGCCACCGAGGGGGAAGTCCCATGAGGGTCAATGACCCCTGGATTGGGCAAACCTGAAAACTGGGGAGTCACCAAAGTCTGTCAAGGCCAGCTAAAAAGCAGTGAAAAGTGACCCTCAGGGGCACGCTCTTGATCTCCAACTTGACCAGCTCCCAACCTGTCCAGCCAGAAGGACCAGACGGCGACCCCCTTCTGGAGGATAACACCACGCTGGAAGAAGCCTCGACTGACCATCGACGGCAGACTCCAGTGCCTGTGGGATAGGTATACCCGACTCCCCCCCCCCATTTGTAGCTCACTACTGTGTGTGTGGGGACCAGCCCCAAGGTTATGATTTGACTTCATTACAGTGTTTCAATCCGCCTAATAAACCAGAATTTGAAGGATCCCGAGTTGGACATTTGTAGCCAACACTGGCTACTCCGAGGTGAGGTGGAGGCTTTGGTGCATCACCACAGTAGGTTCTTGGATGTGCACTGAGAGTGAACAGACTCTGTGCACAAAGCCTGAGTTTAAAAAAAAAAAAAAAATTCTAGACCCTTGAAGAGGACACAGAGTAGAGAACACAATTTTCCCTAGAAGCATTGACTGTCTCTGCTTTCTCCGTATCTGCCTGGGCAACAGCCCCTTCTACCAGAGATATAGAATTTTTTCCCCAGTGTACACTAAGGTAGAGAGAGTTGGCTACTCAGCCAGCCCAAGGTGGTGGTGGAAAGTCCTTTTGGGATGCTGGAAGCCAGATGGAGACTTGTCCATGGCTCATGACTGATCTAAGAGACTGGGATTTGCCAGCACCATTTTATGTAGTATAGATGACACTTTCAGTGACAGCAAGTGCCCAGAATGTCTGCTTCCAACCAGTGAGCATCCTGGGACAGATGCTCACTGGTCCCATGTGCACTGCCTTTCAGATGGGGGCAGGAGGGCATGAACCTGGGCATTCAGCAATAGTGTTGTTGTTGGGGTTTATTTTTTGGAAGATGCTGGGTTTCCCTTTACATATTAAAGAAAACAGATTTGTAGTATGATGGATCAAGTAGTGAAATATACCCTCAGACTACTGGGCAGATGTGAATTAGCTGCCAAGGAACTCTAAGGAGGCAAAATCCACATGCTTTCCTGTGGGAAGCATGAAATCAGTCTGGGTAAAACCTCCATTTGAGGAAGCAAAGTCCCCATCCCATCTGGAGAGTGGGTGTGTAACAGGGGGCCTGCTCTGGGCCGATCTTCATGGCCCGCCCACCTGTTCTTGGGCCAACCACCCGCCTTCTCGCCCACCACGCCTTGATGTTAATTGATTAATTAATTGATGTCAGTTAAGCAGGAGGCTACCCATTTTGCTGCCCCGATGCCAGGGGGCGCTCTCTGCGGCTCCTTTCCTCTATACCGCAGCCCAAGCCTTGCAGATGGCATCTTGATGTTCACATGATCACCGGCCCCCACACTGGGCCCCAGAATCCTCCTAACAGGACCCCTCCATGATCCTTCCACTCAGACAGCCTCTCCGCCTTCATTCAGGCTACCTAGCCCCCGAAACTAATTTTCCCCTTTCAGGTGTGGTCCCCCCGGGACCTCTGGCTACCAGCCCTGGCCCACCTCCAGGCCAGTCGGGACCCCAGGCCCCCGGCTCTTGGGCATCCCTCACAGTGGGCCCCTGGCCCTTTTGACTGTCCTGGTCCTGGCCCCAGCATGGGCCAGTCGAGGGTACTCTCTTGTTCAGGTCAAGTCTCTGGCCCCTCACTGTCTCCAGGGGTCTGCCCTCTGGGCCCCTCACACAAACACAGGGGTTACCTACCCAGTGGTGGGGGCTAGGGGTTAAGGCACCCCAACCCACCTGTCACCAGGGTGGTAACTGGCCTGGCATTTCCTGGGGGCTCCCGCACCACTGAGAGCCGCACCAGGCCACTCACTCCCGGCAGGGTGCAGTTTTAGGTCCTGCCCAGGACCAGGAGCCTCCTGACCATCCCCTACAGCTCCTCCCTTACCTCCAGATGTAAATCTCAGCAGCCCTCCAGCCAGGCAATATTGTTGCCTGCGCTCCAGCAGCCAAACCCCTGACTTCAAAATGGCTGCCCTCATCAGGCACTTGGTGGCTGCCAGCACCAGGCCCTTAAAGTGGCCGGCACACAGTGCCCTGCCACAGGGTGGAAGGTTAAAATCCATGGTGTATCCAGTAGGTGAGGCTGTGAGGTTGGAGGCATCTGACATGGGTGGGGTAGGAGGTGACCCAGTGAGGGAGTGCAGTTGTATCCCAAGCTGCTCATGCTCTTCTAGGCTTCAGCACAGCTCAAACTGCTCAGGTCCCACCTCCCCTCCCAAGCCTGTGGCAGGCTCCCTCCCTGAGGTAAAATGCATTGGACTGCTGCAGCTTGCTGTTCCAGGACGTGTCACAGTTCCCAGTCTTTCTGCCCTGAATGGTACTCCCAAGGCCAGTGCCTTTACAGACCCTTTCCTAACTTCTGAGCAAAGCTGTGACCTGTGTCCTTTCTGGCTTACTCCTTGTGTCTTTGGAAGCAGGAAAGGGCTGATTCTACCATCAGGGAAGTGGGACCTTAACCTGGGAAAGAACAGACAAGTCCTGACTTCTACTTTCCACTGGAGCTGAGAAAAGAAGTGAGGCCTGAGAAAAGAGTTCAGACTTCCTGCTTCATTGCCATTATTGTGATTTCTGGTAGCTGAGTTGACTGGGGGAGTCCAAGCCAGCTGGCTGAGGGAGAGAACTGGGAAGGGACCTGGGCAGAGCATGGGGTGGGGGTAAGGATTGCACGTGGCTTCATGCCGTTGGAGAAGACGGAGCCTGAATCTTAAGTGGAAACTTCGAATGCAAAGTAAAGCTAATTTTCTATGAAAAAGTTAAATATTTTGACCAGAAAAATGGAATTTTTTTTTTCTGTGGAGAATGGAAACTTATCATGAAAAAATATAATTTGGTCTAAGATGTGACTTTTGGCAGAGCAGTTTTTTCTGTCAGGAAATTTTGGGCTGCTCCTTTGCCACTGTGCAGCTAACTCCAAGGGGCAGTATCTTACCTGCCTCCCCTTGCAGGGTTAAAAGCCAGGGGTATTAGGAGATGCACAAAGAGGTGTGTTAGCTGGGGAGCATAGATATGTGTAGGTGCATCTACACGAGACTGACTGCATGGTAGCCCATGATTACTTTTCAGTAGTGTCGTTTGGCAGCTACCATGACGTGATGCTACAAAACAACTGAGCAGTCAGCATCACAAAAAAGCCATTCCTTGGCGCAACTGTGCAGCAGCTCTGGTTTCTGCACACTCATATAGTACTTGTTATTACAAGTGGTAAATGGCTGTGCAGTAATGACTGCACAGTCAGTGTCTCGTGTAGATGTGACCACATGTAAGTATAAGGGATTACAGTAGCAGGTGTGCGTGCGCATGCGCACGTGGCTAGGGAGCAAAGCAGTTGACTTATGTGAGATGTGTTGGCTGGGTTACTAGAGCTAAGTCCCATTCAGCAAGGGAGATTGGCTTCTGGGGGCTTTTTCTGCCTTCTGAAGTGCTAAAATGCTCTTAGCTAAATAGCTACATGTCTGAACAAGGAGGGAAAGGCAAAGAGGCTGATGGTGGCCAGTGCCACATGAAAACATGCACCAGACATTCATAGATTCATAGATTGTAGAGTTGGAAGGGCCCACAATGGAACATTGTGTCCGACCCCCTGCCCCTGGCAGGAAAGAGGACTGAGGTCAGATGACCCCAGCCAGGTGACTATCTAGCCTCCTCTTGAAGACATGCAAGCTAGGTGATAGCACCACCTCTCTTGGAAGCCCATTCCAGATCCTGGCCACCCTTACTGTGAAAATTTTTTTCCTAATATCTAACCTAAATCCACTCTCAACTAGTTTACACCTGTTATTCCTAGTCACTCCCTGAGGTGCCTTAGTAAACAGCACTTCCCCTATTCCCTGTTGACTTACCCTAGTAAATTTATAGGCGGCCACAAGATCTCCCCTCAGCCGTCTCTTGTGAAGGCTGAAGAGATTCAGTTCTCTCAACCTCCCCCTGTAGGGTCTATCACGAAGGCCACTAATCATGTGAGTGGCCCTCCTCTGGACCCTCTCGAGATTCCCCGCGTCCCTCTTGAAGTGCGGCACCCAAAACTGGACACAGTACTCCAACTGCGGCCTGACCAGTGCCGCATAGAGGGGGAGCATCACCTCCTTTGTTCTATTAGTCATGCACCTGCTAATGCACGACAAGGTGTGATTGGCCTTGTTGATGGCCTCATTACACTGCTGGCTCATGTTCATCTTGGAGTCAGTTATGACTCCAAGATCCCTCTCTGCCTCTGAGCTGCTGAAAAGGACACTCCCCAACCTACTGGTGTGCTGAGGGTTCCTCCTTCCCAGGTGGAGTACCTTACATTTATCTTTATTAAATTGCATCCTATTT